GGGGCGGGGCGGGGAGTTATTTCAGAAAGGAAATTCTGGTAAAAATACCTAAATCTGTTTTCTCATGTTAGCTGGAGTGAAAAATCAGAGTACTGGTACGGCCATAACGGTGCTGTTAACTGCAATATGTTTGTATATCAATATGTTGCTAGAAAGTAAGCACTAGGCTCTTTGCTTATGGAGGAGGCCACGAGCTTGTGTAACTGTCAGGGTGAACTAAGGAAGGGACCAGCAGACCCCTGAGACATGCCAGGTTATGTATTGCTTCCAGAGCATCAAAGGAAAGGGAAAACTGTGATACCTTCATTTATTAAAGGATACACCTAAGACAACAGCAACACTGAATGGGTAGAGAAGCAGGTCCGAAGCCCATCACTGTTCTACCCTCTCCCCTCCATAGATGACGACATACAATAGCAACGTTTCCGGTTCTCCTTGGGGTCCCCTCTCTCTCCTTGCTGACCAGGCTCACTTTCTTGCTAGATCCCAGTTCCCAGGACATTTGGTTTTGCCCTGGTCTCAGCAACCAGCAATCATTTGGCAGCTCCCAGGTGCCTGTGCTCTGTGCTGGCTGCAGCTCTGTTGGTGACACCGCTGGATGTCACTTGAGGGTGAAGCAGCTTCAAGCAAGAACACATTTACTCCGTTCACATGAGGAGTTGGACAGTACAGAGGATCCTCCCTGCTAAACAGTGCTGGCACCTACAACACTGCCCATCGTATGTCTGATCTCCCCTCCCCATGTCCCTGCACACTGGCCCTACCAGTGAACATAAAGTCACAAGCAAAATCAGCTTCAGAGCCAGAGTTCAGCTGTCTGCCCACAAATCAAACATCCTGGTGGGGGAATCTCAAGGAGAGGCAGTAGATGGGAATGGTGTTAGTCTGAGATGTGGGACAACGAAGCTGCTGGCTGAGACAGTAATACCTACCCCAGCGCCTACAAGACATGGATGTAGATGTCCTCCAGTGCTGCATCTGGAGGATGCAAAGCTGCATCTCAGGAGTGTGCCTGGGCTGCTAAGATTAGCTGCCATCCAGTACTAACAGAAGAGTCAACAGCTCAGCCAAGAAGCCATCAGAGCCATTGCACAGCAGCCCAATAAAGGTCCTCTTCCAGTTTAGCTCTAGATGTTCCATGAAGCAGAAACTACTTCAAGAGCCCAAGGCTGAACACTTTCATCCTGGTAGCTATGGTCCATGGGAAGGGATGTGGGTACCAGGCCACTCGGAGCAGGGCTGAGATCTCCATCTCCACAGACAAAAGCATTAGAGAGTGTGCTAATTTAAACCAAAATTATATGAATTGCTGACTTTAATCACAGGTTAAATAATCTTCATTCTGCAGTTGTACTTTATTTTGGTAGGTTTACTGTCACTGGCTGAGATCTATATGAATATGCTGATAAATATAGACTTTACATTAACATTGGCACTCATTTTAAGTTGGTGGATATGCTAATCTATTCGCATTTATACAAGCACTGTACGGTTATAACATGCATTAATTCAGATACTTAATTTACATTTTATTTTGTTAGGAAATAGTGAATGAAGCATTTTTTTTTACTTGTCACTTAGAAAATGGAATATTTAATTGATTGCAAAAACAGAATTTAAAAATGGCTTCATGAATTAATAATACACCCTAAAATGGAGTGGATTCATAACAGCATGCTTGAATGAACTGCTCTAGTCTTTTTAGGCAGGCTGGTTTAGTGCAAGAACAACTTGATCTAAGCACAAAGGTAGCCCTAGTGTGAGCAGGGGCTTGGACTACAGAGCTCCAGAGTGATGTCTTCCCACCTAAATTTTTCTGTGGTAATTAAATGAGTTCTTCCAATGACTGGATCCTTCAGGCTTTCAGAATGAGGAAATCTCATGGTCTCACACTTTTTTTTCTTCTTTGTTGTTGACGTGTAAAAAATAATTCCAGCCTTTTC